GTGCTCAGCCCTTATTTGGGTTTTTAAAAATTTATTTATAAAGTTTCTTTGTCATTCAGATCCATTGAAATGTAGGTGTTAACTAGAAGCTGTGTTTTAAGTCTTAATCAGTAAAAATCTCTTGAGATTCTGGAAGACCACCAGCCTTCCTAAAAATGACTTGTGTTTTGCCACAAAGATGTGGTTTTAGACAGTGATATAGATAAGAGCATTTCTTCACTGTCTTGATGAAACGCATTATCGGACTTCATCAAAATTGGGTATCCCCGGGGCTGGGGAGGCTGAGGCAGTAGGACAGCAAGTTCACAGCCAGCCTCAGCAACTTAATGAGGCCCTGAGCAACTTAGTGAGACCCTGTCTCCAACTGAAAGATAAAAAGGATGTGGGGATGTGTTCAGTGGTTAAGGGCCCCTGAGTTCAATCTTTGGTATCAAATTAAAGAATTAGGTATTTCATTCTTTGTGGACAAGAGCCAGGTGGGGCTTGGCTGCCTGTGGCGCCTGCAGGGCTCCACTCAGCACCCAGTTCCCGGTTGATGCCCGGTAAGTGTTTGTTGAGAGGATAATTGTTTAATCTAGCATGAGTCACCCTGACTGTCATGACAGACGAAGTCATCAGAAAAATCTCTGGTCATGCGTGAGAGCTCCCTGCCAAATCTCTGTTCTGATTGCTAAAGTTTGGGATCTCTTTGCAAAATTTTGGGAAACCATCTCTGGACTCCAAATCGCCTGATGAAAGACAGAATTGTACCTTCTTCTGTTCAGAGTCATTCTCTGACCATAAGAAGATTGTCACTTTCCTGGTCACCAGTCTCCACTGCAGAAAAGTTATTTTGTCCAAAATTTAAATGGGCAAGGATTCTGAATGCACATATAATGGAACTGAAGAGCAATTTTATTTTCACAACTGTGGAGGTTTGGGGTTTGGGCATGGGGGTAGCAGACTGAAGAAAAGGAGGAAGGGGTAACTTTTATCCATTTATACACCAAAGGCACTTGACCTGCCTGAAGCGCTAAAAAATGTACAGTGTTACTGTGCCATCTCCCACAGGGCTGCTCTCTCTGCCCTTCTTGCTGCAAATTTCTTCTTTCTGTCCTTCGTTAAGTTCCAATAAATCCTACTTAATTCATAAGAGCTCTTGGCTCTCAAAAGGAAATGTCTCATTTTATTTTTGTAAGTATAGGACAATAGTAAGTTGTTTGTTTTCTTTCTTTTTTTTTAAGTGTAACGTTTTGATGCAAACGTGGGAATGATGACATCTTGAAAGGGCTGGGGTGGATCACACTGAGTCTCCGCAAAACAAACGTCTTTCCATTTGAGATGTGCAATTGACTGACGCTTATCAAATGCTTTCCCGCTTTCACAAGGCGCTCATGTGCATTCTGCTTTGTCTCTGTGCTTTGTGCACAGATTGAACACAGTGCAGGCGGACTGAACAGGCCAGCACCCAGGCGAGGGGAGCGCAGCCTCGAAGCCCTTTCTCTCCTTTCACCTCCCTTTTCACATGGGTCTCACCAGGGCCTGACGTGCAGCCGGCTTCTTTCTTGTAACTGCATTAATTATTGATATGGCTGGACACATAGGGGCCCAGCAGTTCTCCAGCTAGTGTCCTTTGGCCTTGAAACTTGCACAGGGTCCTGCTTAGGTGCCAGGAGAGTCAGCCCGGCCACTTGCTGCATGTCAGCTTCCTTCATGTCCCTGAATCCCTGAATGTGTTTCTTCCTGGGCAGAATTGGGGAAATGATCTTTTTTTTTTTTTTTTTTTTTTTAAAGAGGACATGAGGTTTAAGTGGAAAAATCTCTATAAAGTGCAAATTGTTCCTCACATGTTAACTATTTCAGCCATGGCTGTTCCTGACATCCTCTGTTGCTTCTTCCAGGCAACAGATTGAGCGTTAATCATTAGGAAATTGGCCAGTGTTTACTCTAATTCACTAATAGTCATAGCTTTTCAGCTCCATAAGGGTGTTTTTATGTAATTCTTTAAATTGCAATGAACTTGCCATGAACTCCCAAAAGGACACCACGGAGGTGACACTCTGGGCTGCATTCTGCTGCTGCAGAGCCTCCTGGGGCCCTGTCAGCTAGGCACATAAGCGCTTTGGAGTGTGGACTAGGTCCTTGGAGAGAACATTCCCATGGAGCCATGTAAGCATGTGGCTTTTGTCATTGGAAGAGCTCAAGCTTTAGGTACAAAGGTTTCTGTACCTTTTGGACTGTAATCCCAAGTTTCAGAGCTTCAGTGCTCTCCTAGAATCTATTTCTTTGCCCCCAAATCAAGCATTAAAAACTCATCCTTTGGGCTAGGGATGTGGCTCAAGCGGTAGTGCGCTCACCTGGCATGCTTGCAGCCCGGGTTCGATCCTCAGCACCACCTACAAATAAAGATGTTGTGTCAGCCAAAAACTAAAAAATAAATATTAAAAAAATCTCTCTCTTTCTTTCTCTCTCTCTCTCTCTCTCTCTCTCTCTCTCTCTCTCTCTCTCTGGAAAAAAAAACAAAAACTCATCCTTTGACCTTAGGACGTTCTCATGCAGATTCCAGTTGTGAGGCTCTGGCTGTATAGATCAAAAGCTTCCTTTGTCACCAAAAAGACAGAGTGAACAGCATATTAAAATAAATGATCAGGTTGTGGCTCAGTGGTAGAGCGCTTGCCTGGCATGTGCAAGGCACTGGGTTCGATCCTCAGTACCACATAAAAATAAATAAATAAAATAAAGATATTTAAAAATAAATAAATAAAATAAGTGATCATCAAAATTGATAAATTATATTACTGTGTTGTGTAGTGTACGAATATGTAATAAGAAATCCCACTATTGCGTATGATTAGAATGCACCAATAAAAATTTTTTAAGTAATAAAATTTCTCCTATAATGGGGAAAACAAATCATAATAATGATCATTTTACTTGTGTTTGCTCACTCAGAGAGTGAGGTGAGTTTTCAAAAGCCACCACCCAGGCCGTTTTTAAAAACACACCAAAAGTTTACGAACCGGACGTTTGGAAGCCACAGAGAAGAAAGAACAGAGGCCGGGCCCCAGAAGCAGACGGAGGAGGGGGAGAGAAGCCAGGAGGGCAGGGGGAGCTGCAGCTGGGGAGGACAGTGGCAGGAGACACTGGTGGCCGTGCAGGAGCTCAAGTAATTTAACCCCAGGTTCCGCTGTCACAGGCTCCAGCTCAGTGGCCATGGTCCTGCGGCTCCTGCACGTGAGATTTGGTTCCTCCCTCCATGGAGTGTCCCCTGCAGCTCCTGAGATGGGCTGCTTTGGGCCCCCCTTCTCTGCGTGGTGTGTGGGCTCCTGCTGTCTGCCTGCTCTCCTGGCGTCTGCCACCTGTGACAGACACAGTGGCAGCTCTCAGTCTGTTCCCCGGGAGCCCTTCTCACTCTCCTGTCCCCTTCCTTGCCGCCTCAGTGGGTGATTTCCTCCATGTCCATGGCTCGGTGGCCCCCTTCAGTGGCCATCTCAGGATTCACAGACCTGCRTGTGCACCCCCCACACCTCCACTCCACGTGAGCCGGAGCAGCCAGGTGGGCAGGTGTGCACCTCTTCACCACCTCTTCTCCTCCTCTCTTCAGAGCAGGTGGGACGTCAGGGCAACTCAAGTCTCTTTCTGTGACAGGGTCAGAGTAAGACACGTGCATGCACTTATCCATTTATTTATCCTTTCCTGTAACAAATCTGTATTGAGCCTCTTTATGAGGCTCCGCAAAATGTACAAAAATAGATGAGGTGAGCTCTCAAGAATGGCTTATGTGAAGGTAAAAAGTTTCTAGGGACACCTGCAAGGCAGTTATACGCTCTTGGTGAGTTCCGGGTACTATAACAAAGTACCACAGACCAAGTGGCTTAAAAACAACAGTGGTTTATAAACAGGTTCAGGACACAAAGTCCCAGAGCAGGTGCCAGCATGGTGGGGTCCTGGTGAAGGGCCTCTTCTGGGATGCACACTATGTCCTCATGCAGTGGAAAGGATGAGAGAGCTCTCTGTGGCCCCTTTTATGGGGCACTAATTACAATCATGAGGTCTCCACCCTCATGGCCTAATTATCTTCCAAAGTCCCCACATCCAAGTGCCATATCTCTGGCATCAGGGTTCCAACACAGGAGACTCGGAGGACACAACCCTCACTCTATCGCATGTTCTATCCGTCCTCCCTGCGCCCAGCTCTGCTGCCTGCCTGTGGGTCTCCGGGAACAGGGTTTCCTTTTCTGGAGCAGGCCCTTCTGCCTGGGTGATCACAACACATTCACGTTCTTCCTTTGATCTTTCCCAGAAATTTCAATCTTCACAAAAGTCCCTTCCCCAGCGCCCCTTCCCAGATTCCAGCCACGCCCATCCTCTGGTTATAAGGAATGAGCGTGAGTGCTCACCTGGGCAGTGACTCTAGATGGTGGCGTTTTGCACGTGGCAAAGCATTTTCTGTCATTACCGGTGGCGTCCTATTTGTGTTTGTCCCAGGTGTACCTTTAGGCCAGCGCTCTGCAGTATCCGCACTGCTGGCCTTTGGGCTGGCTAATTCTCTGTGGGGCTGTCCCCGGCACGGTAGGTTATTTAGCAGCATTTCTGGTCTCCACCCCCTAGATTCCAGTAGTGATCCCCTTCCCAGGGGGTGACAACCATACATGCATCTAAACATTGCCCATGTCTCTCGGGCGTTATCACCTCTGGCTGCCTGGCACTGCCAGGCAAGGGAGGCACCCTCAAGGTCGGGTCGCACGCCTGTGAGCCCCAGGGTTTGTTGGAGATCTTATGGCTCCGTTTCCTCTGTGACTCGCACTGACCACCCCAGTTATAAGGCACTGGGCAGGACGATGGTTCCAAGTGGCATCAAGTGTCACTCTGAAAGCCTTTGATCTCTGCAGGTAGGATTCTAGCACAGCTCTGTCTCCACCCACCTGGAAATGGATGGCCTCTGTATGTGTTTTTACACTCAGCAATGAAGTAGGATAGAAGTAGGGAGATGTCATTGTCCTCCACTTCCCCCCTCTCAGCAGCATCAAGCGGACCAGCTCTTCTGAGCGTGTATCTCCTGGGGGCCGGCGGGAGAGCTCTGGGGACTCCAAAGGCAGCCGGAACCGCACAGGCTCCACCAGCAGTTCCTCTAGTGGCAAGAAGAACAGCGAAAGGTAAGGATTCCCCCCTCCGCTGCCAGATCATCTGACAACCCTGGCCCCAGGGACAAATCAAAATCCCTGTGTGCAGACAAGCTGGGGACTCTCAGGCGCAAGGTCAGAGTGCTGGTCACACCATTTGAGGGCAGCTGTAGTCAGAGTTCACATAAGTCCTCCTCCAGGGAGCTCACCTGTGCCTCCCGACTCCCAGTGCAGGTCTGGGCAGACTAAGCCATTGCTGGCAATTTGCAGAGCGACCAGGGAGCCCAGGAGGCGGTTCTGAGTTCCCAGATGAAGTGCCTTGTTCCTCTAGAACACCTGCTGCCATCTTAAAACTGACCTTAATGGAATGTTTTAAGCTTGTCAGCAACATTTTCTAATATAGAATGGGTCAAAAGTTACAATTTGATAATTGGCCAGAGACTGCTTTCAGTATTGAGTTGACACCAGGAATATGGACCACTTTCCTTCCTGGTTTCCACCTCCCTTTATTCCTAACTTTGGTTTTTTATGAGGTTGGTATTTAATGGATCATAACCAACATCTGTGACGTTCTACTCATACATGCTACTTTTTGGCGTTTTAACAGCTTGTTTTGTATGTAAGAATGTATTATGTAGATGAGGTCAGTTTTTCTGTGTGTATCTGCCCAACGTGTGTTGTTCTAAGTTTTCAAACATTGTGCTTTGATTTTATCCCTTCTGTTTAGCAAAGCTCAGGAAGGAATTTCAGTTTCAGAGGCTAAACATGTTTCTTTTCAAATGTTCACGTAAGAAGGCTTAGTCATAATGCAGCCGACTCCAACCACGGGTTGTACAGGTTCCAAGTCTGTAAATCTACTGTGCTTCATTCCTGTTCAGGACACAAAACTCTTTTTCAGTTTCATTCCTAAAAGGTATTTTTTGCAGAAAAAAACATAGACACTTATCAATCTACAGCAGGTCAGTTAACAATTTCAGAAACCATTGACATAGGTTCTGACTTCTAATTTAGACAGTACTTTTAAAAATTTTTCCCCTAGTAACTGGGGATTGAATCCAGGGGCACTTACCACCAAGCCACATCCCCAGCCTTTTTATATTTTAAGACAGGGTCTCGATAATTTGCTAAGACTGGCCTGGAATTTGCAATCCTCCTGCCTCGGCCCCCAGAGTTGCTGGGATTATAGGCCTGCACCACCACTTTGGGCTCTGTTAGTACTTGTTATCAGAAGATTATGCTAATTGGGTGATAATACTTTGGAAATAAGGCCAGGTGGTCACAATGGCAGCAGAGTGAGCCAGGGGGAGGTGCAGTGGCTCTGAAGGCTTGAGTTCCGGGTTAGCCTAGAAGATGACCTGAAACGTCTAGATCTTGGCCGTTCATATAAACTTGGCTACTCTTCAGCCCATCTGATTTTTATTAAGAATTTCCAAAAAGAATCTGCATTGTGTGAACTCCAGATCTGTTTTATCTTTTAAATCCTATGGCTTTGGTAAATGTGCTGGGTAAATATTTCCACAGAAGATATTTACAAAGGGATTTTTGAGAAATGCCACAGTAGGAAATTTTGATTTGGAAGTGAGGGACTGGAAAAGTTTACTAATCATTTCCTAAAATAGTTCAGGCAACTCAAAGTGGCCATTTAAAAATAAATCCTTTTCCTCTCTAGAACTTAGGGGTGGTGGAGGCCAGCACAATGTGAGCTGTCCAGTTTCCGACAACCGCAGGGTTTCCAGAGAGTGTCGCATCTTCCCCGGGGTGACTGCTGGTACTGACAGGGCCTGGGGCAGTTAGGGAGCAGCAGGAGCAAAAGGTCAAGGTGGACCTCCAGGCACTGCCTGACCCCTTTCCTTCATTCTTGTCTCCATTCCCCAGGGGCAGCCCCAAGCCTGGCTGCTCTGACCTCACTGAGGAAGCCTGCCTGGGGGTGTAGACAGGTGCAGAGGACGAGTAGCCTGCGGGATTCCTTCTCAAACATAGCTACTCACAGGTGGCCTCAAGAGTCTGGCCTCCACTCTCACTAGCTCGCCTGTGTCCACTCTTCCAGTGGCCACCTCCTGTTTCAGAAGACTAGCTGTTGGTTACTGTCGGCAGCAAGACAGAAGGCGAAGGCATGGAGGGCTGCTTTGTGAGCCAGGCTCGGCCTTCACTGCTCCAGCTGGGTTTCGTCCTCTGGGAATTCTACACTGATGCCCTTGAGTCTTACAAATGAGTGAGCCCCTGGGAAGCACCCGGCACAGGGGGTGGTGCTCATTAGATGCCCCCATTGCTGTGGTGGAGTCACAAAGAGAAACTCATGCAGAGCACAGGACAGTGATTGACGAGGCTGTCAGCAATTCTCCACTTGACTTTCCTCGTGTAAGTGACACCTCAGGTCGTCAGTCTCATTTGCCTCAGCAGCACAGTCCTGTGGTATAGCCCAGATTTTGACACCATCCAGCCATGGTTGGGGGGACGTGAAGTGTGATGTGTCCCTATAATTCCCCCAGCTGCTGACAAAGTGGCACAGCATGGGAATCCACAGGCCAGGGTGGCTCCCAGCCTGCCATGGCTGGAGGTCCTGCCCCTTCCCCTTCTATAAGCTCTTTGGGAAGCACRTGAGTACATGCTGATATCACAGGCGAGCTCGGATTTGGTCTAGCCGAGAAGGAGTGCGTCACCCACACAGCAGTGCTGTGATGTGGGACAGCTTCAGATTGCTACCTGTGAAGTCCGGTGTTCCTGCCTGTGAGCAAGGCTGTCTATGGCACATAGGCACGTCTGCACAAATCAGAAGACATTCCCTTCACTCAAAATATAACTCCACATCAGCATGTGTATTTCTCTTCAATAATAATAACAGCAAAAGCTGTTCGGTATATTGTTATCACTTGAACTGTGGAACAGAAAATAAGTGGTTTTGAAGTCCTAAACATTCACTTTTTCCAAAACACAATAATTTATTTTAAAGTAATTAATGTATTTGTTTTCATAGAAACTCTTTATGATAGTTTTTGTGTTCTTGTTGCTATATCCCTCATCTTTAGGACTGGTCACTGGATTTGACAGTTTTTCTTGTGACATAGTAGATTCTTAACCTTCATTTTAGAATGCTTGCCATTTTAAAATATTTTGCTTATAGCAAGCTGCAAAATTTTAAGAACATTTAATCTTTGCACTGACAAAGTTTTCATTAAAAACAAAAGCAATGTAGGGCAATGTGATCTATGACTTTATGTATTATTGATAGTAGATGAATATTAATAATTATGCAGTGGTTCATGTCATCATGAAGTACTTAGTAAATTTAAAGARATAATCAGCAATAACATTCCAATGGCAGACTTGTAGTTAATGTCCTAATCCAATGAGGGACTTTTTAAAAAATTTTAAAATAAGCATTTTCCATCAAATAGAAAAATAGCTACTTATTTAGAAGCACAGTTTATGCTACCTGTTGCTAGATCAATCAAGTGTTTCAATTAGCACTCTGGTTCCCCCTTTGCAATTTCTGAGGAAAGAGATAAGTCACCTTCATTAGCAAGACACCATCGAACGCTTGTAAGGGGCTGATTCCTAGAACAAGAGATGTTTCCCCCTCTGCTGGAAACTTGGTTGTAACACACACATGGTCCATCTTTAGAACGAACATATCAAATACAGCATCCAGCAAGCAGCGTTGCCCCAGGTGCAGCGCCCCTCTGTGCCCAGCGCCCCTCTGTGCCCAGCACCCTCCCGCCTTACGAGACTGTGAGGTCAGGAGCCACTGCCCAGAGCCCCTCCCTCCTAAAGCCCCAGCATGCGTGACACGGTCTCTGGCAGCTCCCTTGAGCTCCTGAGGGCTCAGAGTTGTTTTTCTTTAACTGTGGCGCCACTGAGCTATAATCTAAATCCTAATCCTCAGCCCAGGGTTCATGGCCTCCATATTCTGTCTCCTCACTGCCCTTGGGCTCTGACATCCGCGCCTCTCCATGGCTGTCACTTGCTTCCAGCAAGATTTTTTTCTCTCTTTGAGTTACTTTATTTATTACACAAGTAACCTGCTTTAGAACATCCAGATGTACAAAAAGCAATGAAAGTCACCTATGATCTGGCTGCTCAAGGAGCTCAGAGCTGGGACTTGTCACAGTTCCACYCAGCCTGTGTTGCTGGGGTGCTGTACGGGCGGTGGGCACTTCCGACGTAAACATTCTTCTGCATGTCTTTTGCAATCCTGTTTTGTTGCTCTGTGAACATGCCTCTTTCAGCAGACATACTTTCACACAGTGTGATTTGTTATTTTTGTTTAAAAACGTTTWAAAAAAAWTTTTTTTAGTTGTAGATGGACACAATTCCTTTATTTTTATGTGGTGCTGAGGATCAAACGCAGCACCTCACACAAGCCACAGCCACAGCCCTAAAAACTTTAATATGAAAATAATTTCACACAAAAATAAAAATAGCACAAGGCGCACCTTACGGCATTGGTTTAGTTGGACGTCGTACATGCAGCCGAGTGCACCTTAATGGGACAGCCAGGTGCCAACAAGGTTTTCCTAATCCAGTCAGACCAGTCCAATGTCTGGAAATGTGCAGCTCWGAGTAGTTACTCAATAAATGTCACTGAATGGTTTATCCCAATTAATATAGCCAAAGAAGGTCAGAGTCGTGCTGCTTCATAGCCACCACCAAGTTTGATTCCAGTTCTGCCACTTTTTGTTGTATGATGGTAAATTACTTGWTTTCTTCTGGGAATTTCTCAGTGTCAGTAAAAAATAGTGCCTACCTCCCAGGTGTTGTGAGGATTTAAAAGACCAGATATGCAGAACCCAGCCCGCCTTGCCTGCAGTTGGCAGTTAGGCGGCCTCCATGGCTGCCATCCCCACCCCAGAACACTGAATTGCTATTTGTGTTGTCGTGACACACAGCTGAAGTGTCTCTTCCTGGGGACATTTTGTAATTCCCCAMCTCCTGGGTCTGTCCTTAACCAACCTGAAAAAAAGAGCAATGAGAAACTGGAAATTTGTGTCATCTTATTTATTCAGCTCCCCAGCACTGCTTAACTTAGCACGGGCTGTGTGCACAGCATGGTGCGAGACAGGGCCAGCAGTAGAAAGGRGCAGCATGAAGGGACTCATCCTCTCTGCAAAATTAATGACACAGTGACAGATAAGGGCCAATTTCCTTTAATTTTCCCAAGACCCAACACAAGAAAAAGATAACATAATAGAAAACTGGGTAAAGGGTTTGAACTCACAGTTCCCTGAGAAAGAAATTCAGATGGCTAGCTAGCTAACACCATTGAATGGTCCTAATTAAAGAAATGCTACCTAAGCAAGCTGAGAGCATCCTGAGAGCTTGGACAGGGAGTTTTTCTCAGACAGATGCCTTCCAGCTCTCAGTAGGTGCCAGGGTGTAACCTCTGCCAAGTGACATGTGTGCCTGGGACCTGGGGGGGTGGGGTTGAATGTGCTGGGTGCCCCTGTCCAGGAAGCCTTCCTTCACATGGTTCCTCTCCTGCCGCTAACTTGTCTCTGACCCTGACTCCCACACAGCTCCTGGGCTCCCTCAGGCTGGGAGGGCAGGAGACATGTGGCTCCTTAGCCTTGTGCCTCGGGCACCTTGCACAGTGGTGGGTGGATGAGGCTGCTGAGTGCTCAAGACCAGAGCCATTCAAGACCAGGTCAACAGCGCCACCTATGGGTAGGCAATTTAACACCACCTTGCAGAAACATTCMCTCTGGGTGGAAATCAGGTGACATAAAGTAAGCATCTTTTTCCTGAAAAGATGGCTTCACCCTTCAGGCTGTGAGGTCATTTACCTTTGGGTATATTCTTAAGTGATCAGAGCTAATAGTCTTTAAGTTGTTTCAGTTCTGTGACTATCAGGTGAGGACCCCAGAAAGTCAGTTAGGTTCTTGTCAGTGATATTGGAGGAAGAGGGAAGTAGTATAATTTATAAGGAAGTGCGAGGCACTGTGTTACACTTCTCATTTAATCCTGCCAGTCCTTGCACCACCCAGTGGTCCAGTTTCTATTTTGTAGGTGAAGGAGACGAGGCTTATGGAGGGAAAGCACCTTGTCCCARCACCCCGCACCCATCAAAATCTGTGCTCCCCTGCTGAGTGAGGCTCAAGCTGTTGGTTCTCATAGGCAGTGTCTGTGAGGCAGTAGTTGGGTCCCCATCAGAGTGTCCAGTGGCTTCTGAACATTTTTAATAGGTGCTGCCTGATAGACCCTGGCCCCGTAAAAGCCGTGTGGAGCCATTATTCACATGGCAGGGTACTGTGACTCCCCGTGATGATCTTATCCCCTCACATGGAACCCTTTCCAAGGAGAGCCGGTGGTGTGGATGAGTGGCAGGGAGGTGGCTTGCTGGACTTGGTAGTGGCTCCTCCTGACCACACCGTAAAGTGAGGTTCTCTGCTCAGGCAGCTTCTGGCCCCTGCCAGCCTGCCAGGGCAGTGCCAGGTGCTGTGAGGTCCTTCCTGGGTCACCGTCTGTCTAAGGCCTGACACGGGCTCAGCCTCCAAGCCCTGTCAGGACGTAGAGTGAGTTGGTCCCCCGGATGTTGGTGTGAGCGCAGCTCCCCACGGGGACATGCTGTCTGTCACATCAGGTCCTAGCAAGCTGTCCCCTGCTCTTTCCTCCCTGGGACACGCTGCAGAAGAAAAGGAAACAGCCACCCAGAGTCCARGTGGGCACTCGGCCCTCACGGGAGGCAGCAGCGGCCACTTCCCGGCACCCAGGATGCAGCCTCTGTTGGTGGCAGCGGCGGAGTCCTGTCTTCACCCCCGACCACTCACATCCAGCTGCAGGGACATCCGGCTGCAGGGACCTCTGAGAGTCCCAGGGGCTGCTTCTGTCTTGGACACGCCCTTCCTGCCGAAGCAGGATGTCTACTCCAGAGGTGCCGCCAGGGCAGCCAGGAGGCCAGGCTGGCCACTGGGGGCCCTACTGCCCTCCCTGTGGGCAGTGCCGATGCACTCTGTGCTGGCCGGGCAGGAGGAGGACACTGTTCCCTCTAGGATAGGGCAGGGAGCCCCACCCCAGCTGAGCTGCCATGTCACCCACGTCACTTTTCCACCTAGCACATGTTGAGGAATAGGGCCATCAGACAAATGACACCAYGCCTAGAGAGGCCCTCGCCCCCTTCTCAGCACGTCCACACCTGTGTTTGCACCCGGGCTCAGGGAGGCGCTCAGGGCACAGCTCTGGCTGACGGGCTCTGATGGGGCCACCGCGCCTTCAGCTGTGGGCCATCGTCACCACCTGTCATGGTGCATGGCCGAGGAGGTGCTCAGAAGATCCTGTGTCATTTCTTGGGTGGCTCTTAGGACCTTCACCCGTGGGCGCAGGTGAACTGGCCTCCCCTCAGCCCTCCTCCTGCCCGTTAGGGAAGGTGCTGGTGCGTTGGCAGGGAAAGGGGTTGAAGTGAGTACAGGGTTTCTTTTTCTTTCTTGATCTTTCRCTTTTTTTTTTTTTTTAAAGAGAGATAAAGAGAGAATTTTTAAAAATATTTATTTTTTTCAGTTTCCAGTGGACACAACATCTTTATTTTATTTTTATGTGCTGCTGAGGATCTAACAGCGCCCTGCGCATGCCAGGCGAGCGYGTTACCACTTGATCCACATCCCAGCCCCAAGAGTCCACGTTTTCTAAGAAAAAGTAATTTTCTAAAATAATGAAGCGGAGCAGTAGCACATTTTCTAAATTCCGCACCAAGAAGTGATCAGAGTTTAGATGTGAGGAAGCAGCTCTTTGGTGCCACCTCAGTCCCCTGGCTCTCACTGATCTTCATTGTTTACATTCACGTTACCTTTTTATGACTTTAATAGAAGAATTTCTCAAGGCCAGGCACAGTGACTCACGCCTGTCATCCCAGCTACTCGGGAGGCTGAGGCAGAAGGGTCACAAGTTCAAGGCCAGACCAGGAAACTTAGCTAGACCCTATCTCAAAATAAAGGACTGGGGGTGCGGCTCAGTGTTGGAGTGCCCTGGGTTCCATCCCAGTACTGCAAGAAAGAGAATGAGCGAGAAGATGGGGAGAGCAGTCTTCCGAGTGTTTGCATTTTAGAAAACGTCCCAGCTGTTTATGTCTGTGCTCGTGGCTTTTGCATCTTTCTACCTTTGGGATCATCATGAGGAAAGGAATAGTTGCCTTCCCTGAGCATCTGCATCTGCCTCGGTTTGGGGTTTCCATAAGCACCAGAGGCCGAGTACTCTATMAAGAAAAGAGGTTTATTTTGGCTCATGGTTGTGAAAAGTTCAGGATGGGGCAGTCACATCTGCCACATCCATGGTGGGAGCATGCACAGAAGAGGCCCAGACCCTGGGTGACCTTGCTTCGTAATAGCCCTCTTTTGAGGTAACTGGCCCAGTCCTGAGAGCCCTGGCTCACTCTGGGACACTTAATCCAGGCTCTTGAGAGACAAGAATCCATTCATGAGGGTGGTGCCCTCATGATCTCACTGTCCCTTAAAGAGTCCCGACACCATCACCATGGAGACCACAGCAGCACCCCGACCTTGTCTGGAGTGGAGGTAGTACTGTCCCTGCCAGTGGCTGACCTGTCGGGGCCTGAGCAGTGGCCCCACTGCTGTGGTGTCCGAGGGTCTGTAGTGGAAGTTTTCTGGTGGAACTCTAGCCCTGCAAGTGACGTTGGTCCTTCAGAGGCCYGCCCCTCCAGCCCCTGAGAGACTTGGTCCGCAGGTGCAGGCACAGGTGGGTTCAGCCTGCTGGGTGGGGTAGCTGGGCGGCCGGGGTCAGTTCCCCCACTTCTCACATGACGTGCCTCTGGCCTCCCTCCTGTCTTCCTCAGGAGGATCATCTGCCCAGGAGAAGAGCACACCCACAGGTCTCTCATCAGGAAGTTGTACTTTAAATCAGGTCTTTAGGTCTGTCGGAAGAGCGTGGAGAAGAGAAGCCATTTCACACATTCAATAGAGCCGTCCTTGAATGTTCCCCTCCTCTCAGGAGTAGCACAGCTTGGTGACAGACGGTTCCAACGTCTTGTACCTAGTTTTGGACATTTTKTTACCTGTGTTCCGTTTGCGACCACGCTGTTTTGCTGTTCTTATTAACGCACGTCATTGCATGGCTTTCCCGAGGTCCACCCGTGCACCGTGGGCTGAGGGTGGGTCAGGGAACAAGACCAAACACCCAGGCTCCTTTTAAAAGATGTTTTTGGTTTMTTTCCACAGCAAACCCAGGGAGCCCGTGTTCAGTGCAGGTAAGTCTGATTTAATTTTTGTATGGGTGTCCCTCCCTCCCTCCCTTGGACGGCCTTAATAAGTGGCTGTAATGTGGATCTTGACYGAGGGGCAGATAAGCAGTAGCTGTCTCGGGGTCAGGCGGTCCTGGTATTTGGGGACGAGTGGTAACGGGCAGCCTGGTGTAGGGTCACGCGGCTCAGAGAACAGCAGGATCGTCATCCAGCAGTCACAGGGCCGGACCCTCACCTGCCCGCTCTAAAACCCATCTAAGACACGCCAGGAAAGAGCTCAGAGTGGTGTGCCACCGCGTATGTGCATTAGAACCTCTAGGGCAAAGACTTCTGGCCTTTCATTTTCCCTTACTAACTGGGCTTCTGTCCACATGCGCATTCTCTCCCAGAGAAGGTTTCTGGTGCGTTGAGTTCTGTAACTTTGTCTAAAAGTAGCCTTAATTTTTCTGCCTATGGTTTCCTAAACTGCAAACTAATAGTTCATGTGTACCTTTCCATGTGTCTTTTTAAAGCACACTTTGTAATAAGGTAAATGCTGGGGCTTTTAGCATTTTAGTCTTACTTTAAAGTGTATTTAAAATGCAAGACAAATTTTTCAGGTGTGTAACTGGTTAAGTTCATGTAATGTTAATGTTTCCAGTTTTTCCCCCTCAAATTCTAAATTAAAACCCAGAAGGCAGCTTTGTGTCCCTCAGCACGAGCTCTAGTCTCATTCCATTCTCAGGAAGCAGGAGGTTACTCACTGAGAAGGTGACTGCCCAAACTCTCAGGCCCACACCTCAAGCGCCTTGTCAGAGCCCCCGAAATGTCCCGATGGCCCGCGGGAGGCAGGGCAGCTCCTGCAAGCTAGTTAGCCAGCGCCCCCGCAGGCAGGCCGGCCACACTTGCAGCACCCACGTCTCTTTATCTAGCCCTTCAGTCTCTGTCTCCGAAATCACAAGGGAAGCGCCGGGTGACGCACTGCAAAGGTAGGCAGCACTCCGAGCCCATAGCTCTCTGAGCAAGGCTGCTACCCCGGCTCCAGAGACCGCTTTCATACAGGCAGACCCTCCTTGTATGAAAACGCTTCTGCGACGCAAACACCCCGTTCATTTCTCGTGAAAGCATCCCTGAGCATTTCCTCGGGTGGCCTTTAATAAGCAGCTATGATTTGGATCTTGCCTGATTATTGGTTGATTATAGGAATTCTTAAAGTCTCCATCAACCTGAAGAGAGCTATAGGGCAGCCCTGGATGTCCCACTGTTTGGCACAGACCCCGCACTGCTGCTGGCCTCTGCCCACTCGTGCCTGCCAGGTTGTGATTGCACGTGGTCATCCTAACAAGCCTGAGAAAAGCATTGCTTTCCCTCGCTGCATTTTGGCTTTAGRCATTGGACATCTGGGCCACTGTACAAATAGCCACACCTGGGCCACCAGTGCTGGGCCAGCATGTGACGACAGCTCACACTGTAGGCGGACAGTGGACCGCGTGCTCTCGGTGGCCCTGTGTCAGCCGTGTCCTGTGAGTGYACAGGCAGATCATTCACAGCCTAGAGAGCCAGCGGAGTCACTTTTTGCTTGACTTTAATGCCATCACCCCTGCTTCCCTTCCCACTAGCGTTGGCTGCTGGGCATTGAGARCCCCCACCCGTGGTCACCACTCAGTGTGGGGAGCTGAGGTTTGGGTGGGACTTGGGCTCGAGAGGAGCTCAGCAGCGGATGGGGCATAAGGCAGCAGATGTGTGGCCAGACAGGAAAGTCCCTGTGGCAGTGTGGCCAGGACCTTGGGTAAGGTGGCACCCAGTAGGGCTGTTAGACCTGCCTGGTCCGGCAAGTCAGAGGGCAGGCAGAGGGCAGGCAGAGGGCTGAGATGTGGCTCAGTGGCAGAGCACTGGCCTGGCCTGCGGCGGGCCTGGGCTCCATGCCCAGCACCGCACACACAAGATGGCAGGCACAGGACTGCATGGAGGAAGTGCCAGGTGACATCCAGCTTGGCCCAGGATRGGTTTGGTGGCAATATAGATGACGACCCCGGGGGCCATGAGAGAGCCTTGAATGGCATGGCCTCAGATGGGCAGCTCCCAGCACAGGGAGGGCAGCAGCAGCCACGTGGGGAGCATTCTTTTTTTYTTTAATTTTTAGTTGTAGATGGACACAATACCTTTATTTTATGTATTTAACTTTCTTACGTGGTGCTGGGGATTGAACCCAGTGCCTTATGCATGCCAGGCAAGTGCTCTACCACTGAGCCACAGCCCAGCCGGTGTGGGGAGCATTCTAACAGGAGGATTGGTGGAGCGCAGGCTCAGCCTGTGCAGGGTGGGCACGTTCAAAGCTCTTACTTAGAGTCAAGCTGAGCACACAGAGTGGAGATCATCACACGCATGCCTTTAGACTCTAGAGCACATGCACACAATAACATAGATCAGGGCCTCTTCGTTTTTGAATAATATTGCATGTGGCATTGTTTGAAAATCCTGAGGAATAAGACTTACGAAACTAATTCGTGATTGTGGCACTCACAGTACTGTAATTACTCCATGATGTTCCTTACCAGTTTCCTCTCTGCGAATGGTTTTCTGTTGGGTTATGGACAGACAGCGCTGGTTCCAATGGCCTGGTTTAAATGTCATTAAGCCTGGGTCCCTTGTGTGCAGTGGAGCCTCGCTGACTCTGAGCTGAATTCATCAAAAGCTCAGGGAACACCTCCTCTGCTCCTGCTGTGTCCTGGAAATCTAGACAGAACACCCCATGCTGGCTTGTTTATGGACCAGAGGTTGCCCCAGGTTTTCACTTTACCCCTATAAATTTTTAAAATATCAAGTTATTTTAATAGAAATATTCACTCTAGAAAGTTCTGCCTCCTGGTCTCCCTCTCGTGGATATTCTGTTTTCCAGCATCTCCTGGAGCATTTCCCTTATCAAGTCACCTTGCATGCGCTCCTCCTGCTGATTCTGTGTGCTTCACACTTGAAAGAATCTGTCCATGTGAAAGATAGAGGAAGGCTTGTTTTTATACTTTGATATAGCAAACCAACTTAAATATTGATACATTGGGATTTACACACATTGAACTCAGTAGGAAATTAGGTGGGTCCTTGTGTTGCGGTGTTGGTATGGCTCCTTTCCCCTCCTGGAGAGAGAGAGGTGTGAACCCTGAAGTTGCCCCAGTAGCTGTCAGCATCTCGTCCTTTCTGCCTCTTAGGATTTTGTGCATATTAGATACATGACGCACACGTACCTAAGTAAGCAGAATATCAAAAAAAAAAAAATTTATTTCCAGCCATTTAATTTTCTGTGTCAGCTATTTTTCCCTGGGATAGTGATTAGAAATGATATAGGGTGACGTTTTCACTTCTGCAGTGACAAGCTAGAGAGAATATGACATTTGTTTTCAGGTGCGCCGGGCACTGGGGGTTCTTACTGACATCTTTGTTCTTTTTGTAGAGGAAGGATATGTGAAAATGTTTCTTCGCGGACGCCCTGTTACCATGTACATGCCCAAAGATCAAGTGGACGCTTACAATTTGGAAGCAAAAGCTGAACTCCCCACCAAGAGGCTGAAACTGGAATGGGTGTATCCTTTGCTCATTGACTAGGTCTCACACCRGGTGAGCAGCCATGAGTGCTTGAAGTCTAGTTGCAAAATTTCACAGAATGTAAGTCCTCTTGRGTTTTTGAAAAAATATTTTACTCTCACTTTTTAAAAGATCAATTTTACAAACGTGGCCTACGTCACGACCCAGGACAGCATCCTAACATCCTCTAGAAGGGCTGTTAATGTGGGCGTGAACTGACTCGTGGTTTGTGGTTCTTGCTCCAATACATCGACATTGTTTTCTTGAAAATATTAAAAGGCTACATGAGGGTATGAATGTATTTGGGGGAGGCAGGAAGATGGATCATTAGTTGATGGCCCGAATTTCAGTCTTTCCAAAAAAAGCTAACTTTGGTTAGTTAAAAACAACACATCAAGAAACAAGCTTAGTGAAAATGCTTAAAAACAGAGAGAATCTGGATTCTGGTGAGAATGAAGGAGCTGGTCACTCTTCACAGCAGCTGTCACGTCTTTGGTAAACCCTGCGAGGACTGTGGAAAGGCCAGGAGCTCTGAGAATTCACCAGGAAACAGCCACAGAAATGCCAGAAAATACAGAGCTCATGAATGAGAAAGTGGGGCTGTCCAAAATGACCAGACCACGCTGGCAGCACCACGCTGGTGGCACCACGCTGGCAGCACCACGCTGGCAGCACCACGCTGGCAACACGGTTTAGACCCAAACCCAGGGGGTCCCCAGGAGAAGGACCTGCACTCCCCCTCAGCCAAGTGGGAACGCGGCCAGTGTGAGGAGCCCAAGTTCAAGGCCAATACCGAGGGCTGAGGAGACGTGGAAGACTAAGCACACCTGCACATGAATGGAGTGAACCCCGAGGCTTCTTAGAGCCGGGCGCAACAGGAATGCAAACAGCTTTCTTWAAAAAGGGTGGTCTCCCACCAAGGTCTAGGGTGCCACTGTCTGACCCTGCCCTCTAACTAACGTTCTTGGAATGGAACTCTGTGAAGTTTGGAAAAGTGTGCTTCCAGGGACACAGCCAGGGACGAGGAGCRCGCTGGCTTTCTTCTCTCCCTGATTCAGCCACTCATCTCTCACTCTAGAGGAAGGCTGCCTCGCTCCTCTCAGGCTGCAGAGAGGAAAAGCCCTCCGCCACCTCCAGCAAACGCTTATCTGTCACCTGTTCACTGCCAAGCCCTGGGACAAATCGTGAGCCCCTGGCTGAAACTGAAGGTGTGGTGACTTCATTGAGAACAATGGCTGTTTCAGATTAGGAAATCCTACTTTATCATCTGTACCCAGATTTCTCCTGAAAAGAAATTTTGTTGTTGTTTTAGATTCACATGTTATAAGCGTTTGGCTGCCCCCATTTGGAATCTGTCTTGTCCCATGTCATTGAAGAGATCCATCTCTTCTCTAAGTCAATAGTGGTGTATTAAGTGGTTAATTCAAAACACCTTTATCCAGTCCACTTCTTATTCATATTTCAGAAGATGTAAAACAGTAAAATTTGCTTCAAATAAATGGTATTTTTTTTGCCAGGCTATTTTTACAGCCAAGTTCAAGTGAGGTTTTACACTCAAAATAGTTTTCAAGGTTATTTTTTTAAATATTTTTTTTAGTTGTTGATAGACCWTTATTTTATTTATGTATTTATATGTGGTGCCAAGAATCKAACCCAGTGCCTCACACATGCTAGGCAAATACGCTACTGCTGAGCCCCAGCCCCAGCCCCAGTTTTCAAGGTTTAAAAGTACATGTGTCAAAATTTTAACAAGGATAATTATCCCTAAAGAGCTGGGGCCAGGAAGACCTAAACATTTTGTGTATGCATGGGTGTATGTATGTGTGTGTGTGTGTGTGTGTGTATGATTTGTACCTTTTTATGAATACATTTATCATGTTTTTAAGGTCTTTTTTTTTAGTAAAAGATTCAGTTCCTAGCCTCATAATTGACTCGATAAAACAGAACTAATTTTTGTATTATTAAAAATTTGCATTCACATTGCATCAGTGACCGTGCCCAACTTGATGCAGCCACATACTGGACAGTGAGGGTTTGCAGGTTACCCTGTTTGGATCATAAAGCTGCTGATGTGCCTGCTCTCAAAGGGAAGCCATGTTTACCTTGACGCACACCCAGCTACGGGTACCGGGGGCGAGACTGTCGGAACAACCTGTACCTGCTGCCGACAGGGGAGACGGTGTATTTCATCGCCTCCGTGGTGGTGCTGTACAACGTGGAGGAGCAGCTGCAGAGGCACTACTCGGGCCATAATGACGACGTGAAGTGGTGAGTCCTCAAGAGCTGGAGGTGGCATTAGCAGGAAGGTCAGTGTTGGGATGTGAGCCCCAGGGAAGGAGGGGAACCACAGCAGGCTCCAGCCGAGCTCTGCTCTGGGCATGTTCACTGCTAGCACCTGGCCTGCCGCCCCCCTCCAGGTCTAGCTGTCCATCCTCGGGCACAGAGTCTAACCAGCCAGTGACCTCAGGCAATGGCCCTGCAGGCCTGCCCACACGGCTTCTTAACACGTTGCACATAATGGCTATTTGCCTCGTGTTTATGGCTAGTCTACCCTTTCCCAATTTGTCTACAGCTTTTGGTAAGARTATCATTCCTGGAAGTTTGGATGAATGAATACATGTAGCATATATGTGTGTTTGTCCTGGTCAATGAAAAAAAAATCCCATTGGCAAAGATGAGGTGCCTTTCCTATTTAACATTCTCCAGTGACTTCTTAACAAAGGGTGGAGGCTGATTAAGTGGTTCGCAGGTTAAAATGGTTATTTTCCCAGCAAAGGATGCTTTTGCCTTGAGTTTGAAAGTTCTCCAGGAGAAATTCGAGACTGAAGATGAAATGAAGTGGGCACTCACTGTGCACGGAGGTTGGGGTTGGGGGGCTCATTGTGCCTTCTAAGAAGTCCAGGCCTTGTGTTTCCTATGTTTAAATGTTTGACTAGGTTGCACTTGGCCAGGGAAGAGCAAGGCCTGCCTTTAAGGGCAGGTGTCTTATAAATATCCTCTTTTCAGCCTAGCAGTTCACCCCGATAGGATCACTATAGCAACAGGACAAGTCGCAGGCACGTCTAAGGATGGAAAGGTAAGTTGTACTATCTGTTCTTACTATTATTTCCTGAAAACACTGCCGATGGTGCCCCCCACTTGGGTGCAGGTGTGGCATCTGAACACCTGACTCCCTCACCAAGATTGCTGACTGCCACTCACGGTCTCGCCGTGGACTTAAAAAGCAGCGTGTTCTTGCCTAAGACTTCACAATTCTGAACATACCTACTTGCACACACGATAAGCTTTGAAATTGCAGGTGCCTGTTTGATGTGTAAGGTTAAAGCCATAATGAACAGTCCCTTGGGTGTGGGTYAGGCAGGTCAGTGAGAGAAAGCCAGCGCGAGTTAATAGAGAATGACAGTGTTTCCATCTGGTGACTGTCATGTCTTACTAAAAACTCCTGTGGCCTGTGATACCTTGTTCACAGAGGTATCACAAATGAGGCTCATATTTGTGTGACCTGTTACTAAAATAACCACATTCAGTACTTCTGTTCTTATCAATGAGTTTTCTCTCAGAAAGAATGAATGTGACTGTATTCTAGGAAACATTTTAATAACATTGAATTTTAAACATTAACTGTGTGCTRTTTTCCATTAAAACTCTACACTTGAAAAGAATTAATAGGGATAGTGGAAATCAGACTCCAGTTATGCAAATTCACATAAATGGAACAGGCACTCATCTTTTCTTGTTTTACACAGCCTTGAAAWTTTCTTTGAAATGAGTAGTGACCCTTTGTTCTGCCCTCTGGTGGCTTGATGTTGTATTTCAGTTCTGGCATTGAAATTGAGTCAGAACTTTTAGAACCTGAGAAAATGCTGTGGTTCCCTGAGCTCATCCAGTTTACCCTGGAGGATCGTACAGACACCCAACTACTCAGAGATAAGGCCAGACCAGAACCTGGTTCACCTAATGCCTCTGACCACCAGAGACAGTGCCCTGTCTTGGTAACAAATCAGCAGGTTGTTCTACAATGTTTTCTTCTATACGGAAGAGAGAGGTTAGGATAAATAACCCCGGTCACAGTTGAGAGGGTTTTGAGCRAGTTATGACAACCCTAAGTTTTATTTATGCATAATCAATAGCCTGATTTGCTCCTGTTGAGCCCAGGCATGTCAAACTCTATCACTATTTGGCGGTGACCATTTGGATGAACTTAGACATACTTGTGCCTTAGCAACCGAATGGACTTTAAAAGGAGAACCCTGAGCCAGGAGAAAGTGGGGGCCTGCAGCCCCARCTACTTTGGAGGCTGAAGCAGGAGGAGTTTGAGCCTAGTCAACACGGTGAGACCCTATTAAAAATAAAAATAACCCTCATATGCGATGCCCCTTTCCTTATCCTTTTCCATTTCTAAAGTTACGACATAYCCAGATAGGCACATTGTACAGTCAGGTCCTTGGTATGGTTGTCAAGAGCTGCCAAGTCAGGTTTTAAAACTCGGTGGACTTCTAGTGTTGAGCTGGCCACGGAGCCCAGGCCCCCTGTGGCCACTGGGATGTCTTGTCTCATTCAGAGGCAGCTCCTCAAATGCAGGGGAAAAAATCTTTGGTTTTTGACAAAATCGCAGTTGCTTCCCGGGTGATCGTGTAGCTTCCAGGTGAGGAGGGACAGGTCAGTCGACGGGACTGATGGCATCATTTGTTCATAACAGCAACTGCCCCCTCATGTGCGCATCTGGGATTCTGTGACATTGAACACGCTGCACGTCATCGGGATAGGCTTCTTTGACCGAGCTGTCACCTGCATTGCATTCTCAAAATCTGTAAGTATGAAGCCGTGGTGTTGTGGCCTCGGGCCTCAGGGGGAGCCCCCAGGCTGGAGTGGGGGGCTTACTGCCTGTGCAGGTACAGATTCGCACTCTGGGACCTTCTGGCTTCCCAGGTCCCCTCATCAGGGACACTCTTCCAGTCGTACGCTTCAGCCACGTGGGCGTGGTAAAGGAAACAGCCACCACCCCCATATTGTCCTCATGTTCTTCGAGGCAGCCTTCCTGCTCTGGCCTTGAACGTCACCTGCTGCCTTGGCAGGTGGCTTCCACTGGCCCCGTGGCCTGTGCAAACAGGTTGGAGGGGGCCTCCAGGCCTCCCGGCTCCCTCAGGGTGTGCTGGCCCGGCCGATCCACACTTCTTCATCCAGCTCACACACATGCACACACGTGCCCACACACATGTTCACAGCCACAGCTGAGACAGACCCAGGCCCTGCCGCCAAGGGCACTCTCTCCTCCGGGAGCTGCCTCTGACCGCGGCCCTCCCACTCTGCCCCTCGGGAGCCCAGGCTCACTGCGCGCCCCGTCTGCCAGGGATACGGGTCCCAGAAGCAGCGGGTGAATAACCGCTGACTAGAGTAGCAGTTTCTATGAAAAGCAAATCGTGTGCATCCCAGTTTACTCTCAATGAGGTCTTGCTATGAACGGCTTTCTCTTCCAGAACGGAGGAAGCAACCTCTGTGCTGTGGACGACTCCAATGACCACGTACTGTCCCTGTGGGACTGGCAGAAAGAAGAGCGGCTGGCCGACGCGAAGGTCTCACTCAAGCCCCAGCGCGACTCCCCACGCAGGCCCTGGCACAACCTCAGCCCCTCAGCGGCTCCCAGCTGCCCCTGCCCCACCCTGCCCCAGTGTGGCTCCTTTCCCTTGAGGTCTTGTGGCCCCACCCGTCCCCTGGCAGGACCTGATCCTGAATGCTGTCACAGTGATGTCTTTGTTCACTTTTTGTTTCACTCCCTAGTGAGGGAGCTGCGGCAGCCTCTGCTGCCAGGTGAGGCAGCCAGCACCCGAGCTCCAGGCACTGCCCCAGCCCGGGCACCTCCCAAGCTGAGCAGACTCTGGGGGGACTGGAGGCCCATCAGATCCCTCCTGGGGTTCTCCCTGCAGTGGTCCACTCTGGCCCTCTTTCACTGCCTTGAATCCATTTTACCCAAAATGTCAAATTAATGTTCCTGAAGCTCCTTATGTTTTCATCCTGTTGAGATCATCATTGGGTTTCTATTTTTATAGAACTGACTTTGGATTTCTCATCTTGGCATCTGTTAACCTTAGATAACCGAACTCACCTAACATTAGAGACACCACCAGACAGCGTTACTGGTCTCACACCAGGAGGACCGCTGGATACCTTACTCTCCTGACACTGGGGTCACTCCACTGACCTTTCACACCCAGCCATCTCTTTGTGTCTGGGAGGCAGATCCGGTGCTCTGGTCAGGCGTGCTTCCTGTCACGCTGGAGCCCTGCCGTCCAATGTCTCGTCAGGAATTCTGGGTGTCCTTGCCATGTTGCTAGGTGGGAAGTGATTGGCAGCAAGTTTTCATCCAGGTTCAAGGACATGTAACTGAATTCCCGGCAAGGCCAGGTTTAGCAGACCGAGTGCAGTCCTAGAGGCCAGGAGAGCAGTTGAGACCAAAGACCCAGACCCAGCACAGTGGACCCCAGACTGAGCCTCAGGCAGAGGCCCAGGAACAGGACCCAGAGCCGCCCTGACGGGGCGGGGGTCAGGGCAGCCAGGACAGTGGGGCTATGGGAACCCAGATTCCCACCCTTCTCTGGAGTTCCCCCTGCGGGTGGGGATGAGGCCTAGAGCTCAGCACCTTGCCATGCGCCCGGCCTGGGAGATCAGCATGGGCACTGCAGCCCTCCTGCCCTGTGTGGTTCGCTGCCCTGAGCTCCCCATCCTCAGGGCTCACAGCCAGCGGGCTCAGGCGAGGGGGTGGTCAAGGCGCGTGGCCAGTACCACTTCCTACAGGGTGAATTCCGTGGGAAACTCAAAAGGCATCGTGCTTGGCTGGAATGAGTTGTTTATTGGTAGTTCAGATTTATTTTCTTAAGAGAAAATGGTCTTAGGAGATTCCAGGCGTCTGATTGCCCTGTTTCCCCTCAAGTGTTCTAATGAAGCTGTGTTTGCTGCGGACTTCCACCCCACGGACACCAATGTCATAGTCACGTGTGGAAAATCACACCTCTACTTTTGGACACTTGAAGGAAACTCCCTTAATAAGAAGCAAGGATTATTTGAGGTAAAGTCACATCTTTTGTTTAGTTTTCCCCTGGGAGGTGCATGTGATCAACTGGGCTTTAGGGGGGCGCTGAGGTGTCTCAGTCTGGACTGCACCTGGGGGTGTGGTGGCACATCATGCACTAGGACCCCTCATCCAGACAGGAGCCCCCTGTGCCTGTGGGCCTCACTGGTCACGCAGTGACCAGGGCGGGGAGCAGGCCCCGGAGAGGAGCTGGTACGGCACAGGCCAGAGGGTGTGTGGGGGCGGCCGTCTTGTGAAGGGTGCCAGAGGCGTGTGTGCCTTCTGTGGGCCGGGAGAGCACGCAGGGACCTTCTCCGGGGCTGTTTGGAGGGTCCTTTGCTCTGGCGTGGGGCTCTGCTTCTCATTCTGTGGTCCAGACAACACCCCTGAGCAACCTCAGGATTCCCCCGCCATTGGAGCCCCAGAGTCTCTCCTCCTCTTGGAGCAGCATAGTTCTGTAAGGGTGGATAAAAATGGAAGCCACAGGGTGCTGGAGAGGCCGACGCCGCCCAGAGGGGATTGCTGTGGCTCCAGCTCTCAAGACCACAGGAAAGACTGTCCTGATTCAATACACTTATGTATGTATTTACTACATTCTGCAGAAACAGGAAAAGCCAAAGTTTGTCCTCTGCGTGACATTTTCTGAAAATGGTGACACCATTACTGGAGATTCCAGTGGCAACATCTTAGTATGGGGAAAAGGTAACAGTGCCAATACTTTGGTAATAAGCAAGACTTCAAGGATGACTTCTATAAGAACTGTCTGTTGATATGATCCATGGAGTTACTATTAAATTCCAGGGTGTGTGTGTGTGTGTGTGTGTGTGTGTGTGTGTGTGTGTGTCCTGAAACCATAAAACTGGAACGGAAGAAAGCTGGAGAGTGGTAAGTTAAGTGTACCACCCTAAAGGGTCTTCAGGACCGAGGTGCTGTGAAGGATTAATACGTTATTAGGAGATCTGTTAACAAGCTATAGCAATGAAGTTATAATGGCCGCATAGTTAGAAAATAGTTAGGTAACTTTCCTGGTTCACATAGCCTTGGGCAGACGTCTCTTAATTGCTACAACCAGCAGTGTGTGAGCTGCTCTCGGGGAGCCAGAGCCAGATCCCTGTTGCTGCCCCTGCTACTGCAAGTCGCTGGGGACAAGAGATTCACTCTGGAAAGATGTGCTCAGTTCAGGGCAGGCAACTTGGGGACACTTACCACGGCCAGGAAAATATGTCACCCTAGTTCAGGGATCAGAGAGTTGAGGTCGGGTGAGGTGGAGAGGGACCCCCAGTGGGTCTTTGGAACGAGGTGACTTGTAGACACCCCGCTCCTGGTGCTTGAGGCACTGCTTGCTTAATCCTGGGAACAGTCCTGTGGGGGAGCAGTGGCCTGTTCCCCAAGGTCGACCTGAGGAAGGAGCAGGCTCCTGGCCCAGCAGGCAGCTCACTCGGGGGAAGGCGTGGGCACCAACACGGGCCACGCTCCCAGCCACAACGTGCACCTTTCCCTGACCACAGAGGAGTCCGCTGAGGCTCGCTGGAGACTGTGAGCTTCTAGAAATTGAGTCCTTCGTAGAGTTGAACTCACCACCTCACCCTCTCAGCCCAAGTGAAGTGAGATTGGAGGATGGACTAGGCAAGCCTGTGAACACACTAAAGGGGCTTCCTGCGTGTCTAGGTACCAACCGCATAAGCCACGCCGTCCAAGGGGCCCACGAGGGCGGCATTTTTGCGCTTTGCATGCTGAGAGACGGCACGCTGGTGTCCGGAGGAGGGAAAGACCGCAAGCTCGTTTCTTGGAATGGAAACTATCAAAAACTTCATAAAACTGAGGTGAGTCGGCAGGCTGCTACAGACTTGTTTTAACCTTAAACTGTTTTTCTGACTCATTTCCTTGTTTAGAATCCTTAACTTACAGCTTTAAAAATTGTTTAGATGGAATTATATGGAAACAAGGTGTTTTGTTACAATTGTGGAGGCAATTTAAGTACAACTAAAATAAAATTAAATTGATAAAAGTTTGAGGCTAATGGACACTTCAGATTTACAGTGTTTTTCTAATAGGGCCAATTTAATTTTCCAGGGGACTATAACCCACATTTTGATTTATCATTCAAGTCTTTCCTGCCTTTTACTAATTTCCAGCCTGTTACTTTGCCAATATTATCATTCTGCACTTAGGTTTATTGAGTATCTACTTTGTGCATGGCTCTCAGCTCAGGGCCAACAGGCTCTGTAGCACTCCGGCTGCTTTGGAGACCTGCTTCATCTCCGGGTTACCTAGGAGCCACCCTGCCTTCCTGGAAGCCAGAGGCAGGAAATTCAATATTCCTCTACACACAAGAGTTTTCCCCCCAGGGTTCCAGGAAATTATGAGCAGACAGAAGGGAAAATTGCCATCACTCTAACGGGTGATGCTCTGCGTCTCTAGTGTAGAGGGTCATGCTGCAGCACTGTTCCAGCTTCTAAGTCAGAGCGCAGTTTTAGTCTGAGAACTTTTTATGCTAAGGTTTCATCAGCACTTGAGTGAACATGCGCTGGATTACTAGTTGTGTTAAATTATAACAGCAAAGGAAGCACCGAAGCCTCATTGGAGGTAACTCGCCATTGTTGGTATCTGACTCCTCTTTGTGTGGGTTGCCATCACCTTTTCCCTAGCCCAGGCCAATGGCCTGCCAGGAAGATAGAGAAAGGGTATGTGGGTGGGCCACTCTCCCTGAGCCGGGCCACTCTCCCTGAGCCGGGCCAGGCTCCCTGAGCCGGGCCA